GTGTGTGTGTGTGTGTGTGTGTGTGTGTGTATGTGTGTGTGTGTGTGTGTGTGTGTGTGTGTGTGTGTGTGTGTGTGTGTGTGTGTGTGTGTGTGAGCCTGCCCTCTGTCATTCACGCAGAGCAGCCCTGTCCAGCTGTCACTTCCTGACAGGCCGATAATCAATCTCTTTATTAACTGCTCTGCTGCAGACCGCCACCACTGAGGGGGGNGGGGGGGGTTGGATGAGAGGGAGGTGAACAGAGAGGAGGGAGAGAGGAGCAGGCTGTAGCTTAAAAGTTAGGTTTTTGTAAAGTGAGGGTTTGTTTTGAAGGAGGCCACAGTGCTTAGTGGGAACAAGTTAGTAATGACAGAAAGGGAGTATGCCCACATCGCGGTAGGGACCTGCAGAGGTCACAGAATAAGTCAGAGGAGTCATGGGTATTTTTTTAAATGTATTTCTTTGTTAAAAAAAATATAAATACATTGTTTGTGGGTTACAAATAGCATATTGAAATCATTGTTTATTTGTTTATTGATTGTTCACTTGAGAATAAGTTATCTTTCTTGTTTATGTTGAGATAAAATGATCTTCCGAATCAGAATACCTTATTCGTCCCACAGAGGTGAAATATACATTGTTAAAACAAAATGAAAGAGCCAAGAATAGTAAAATCTTTGTGCACTATTTTATCTTTTTAAGTCCTTGTAATATCATGTATTGTGTTGTTGTTTGTCACTGGTTGTTGTTGATTGTTAGTTTGGTTCAATCTAATCAGCAGTCGAAACTGCGGTCCCTCTTTTGATTATCTGTGGCTCATATTCACTCTTTTGTTGTTGTTTTGGGCGGCTGGGGGAGGCAGTGTAAACAGCTTAAAACCCAACCTTAACCCTCCAGTTTCTATTTCAAATATGTTGGCAAACACTAGCCTATTAACAGGAAACACAGACACAGATCGACATGAGCACGCCTTTTCAATTGTTTCCCCGTAATCATCTAATATGATTCTCCTTTCAGCTCTGTGTTGGGCACAGGAGAAAGAGATGTGTCATGTTTTGGCTTCTTAACAGTTCACTCTTTTTCAACAGGAAGTAAGAAGCTTCCCTCCGCTGCTATCAAACTCACTAACCATTTAAGGCACTAAAATAGTTAGCCTAGTTTAGTGTTGCCTACCAACATCATTTTATAGTATGTCGTTTTTTCTTTATTGTTATTGTTTCAAGGTAACTAACACATTATTTTCAGCTCCATTATTGTAATACAAATGTTATTTTTGTCTCCATATTTAGGTTCTTCAAAAAACACTTCACACCGCCTAGTTTGTACAAATATTTGTAAGAGCTTTAGTGATTCTGGCCACCAGCAGGAAATTAGGACTCAGCTCACTTCTTGTCCACTGCTCGGTCCTTTATTCTCCGTCTGTCTCTCCTCTCTGCTTCTGTTCCTCCCTCCACATTTAGTCTGGCAGCAAGCTACTGATTTGTAAGGTGTTTGGAGCTGTTTCTTTCTGAATAACTGTGAATACAGGGGTATGGTGCCAATAGTACGACAAGCATTTCCAAATGAACACAGGTTCATGCGGAGTTCCTAACATATATTTATGTCACAAGAGAGAGTCACAAATACTCTTTTGGAGTGAAATATTTCGAAATTGATAATGCATATTTTTCTTATTATATAGTTAGAAAAATATGCATCATCAATTTTGAAATATCCAAAAGAGTATTTGTGTGCATGCTGTTGATTTGATTTGGTAGACATTTAAATCAATACTCCTGCTTTAGTGCCACCATCAGCTGAACACAATACTACAGATCCAGTATTTAACAACCTATTGGGCAGGTTGTCAAAGATGTGATTCTCATTCAGTATTCTCTACCTAAGGATGAGCCCTCAGTTAAAATCACTTTAAGGGCAAAATGTTGACTCTGAGCACAAAATGATTTACAATGTAATGAGCTGATTGCAGGGGCGGAGTGGAACTGAAAATCAGCCCTGGACTCTGACACAGCCCAGCCCACACCAATTGGTAGAGCACACTCGTGAACCGTCAACGGGGGGGCGGGGGGGAGCTCGCTGCGGGGAAACTGTAGACCTCTGTCGCCTGTCAGCGCAACTTAAATGGTGACGTGTAAAAAAAAAAACTGGCCCGCTGGCGGCCGGCCATTCTGTGGTTCTCCAGAACACACAGATGGCCAGTCCGCCCCTGGCTGATTGTATAAAGTGTGTGACCATATTCGTCCTACCAGTGGGAATTCAAACCATGAACCCTGAACTTTCCTAAGAAGAGAAACACTGGTCCTCCAAGCTTATTTCCCTTTTAACCTGTTAAACCTAAAAGCTTTCTTTTCACGAAACCGTGTCTCAGGGCTTTTTAACATTTAACAAACTATTAATGTGTCATACCCACTTAACGGGAAGAAACTAGCTAACTGACGATATGAACAATTTTTACCGAAACAAAACACAATTCTAACACAGAGCCACTGAATTAGCACTAAGCGAAAAAATGCTAACGGTAGAAATATGTTATACTTCATCGGTTCTGCACAAACAAGATATCATATGAAAGCTGAGATTCCACAGTTTACAATGGTATAAGCATCATCATTCCACGATCAAAACTCAGGGCAGCGAAGGCAAAACCAGACAACACCCAACTTAGCTTTACAGGGCCAAAACTTACCTTTGCTGTTTTCTGATCAAAGTTGTGTTCAATGGCATTAAAATGCATAAAAACGCTACTGAAGGTTAATCCAATGTCTCTGTGTCACTTTGAAATGATTACTGATAATCCATCATCATATTTATGGCAATATTCGTATTTTTCATATGGAGTGTGACGGAGCTTCCGGTTTTGGGCAAGCTGCGGGTGCATCACTCTCAATCCTCAATGTAGACCTGGCGCCAGAACAAATCTACAAAGAGGGCATGTGATTTTCATGGGAGGGCACACAAAACCATCATGTGCCGTGGCCAGTGGCGGCGCCAGAGATTTCTTTTGGGGTGCTGTGGGGTAGCTTGACGTTTCTTAGAGGGTGCTCAACCATTTAGGGTTTCCCATTAATGTACCGGTCGCTACAGTGGCATTTTCTACTCCAACAATCCCCACACGCACACACACAGTGCACCCGCGACTGTTACAATGAAGGCTCGATAATCAGCTCACAGCATATGTGTAAGCAGGGGTAAAGTGCTATATTATTTTGTTGGGGGGGGGGGCCTAACCTCCTCTAGGGGGGTCCTCAGCTCCTCTAGGAGGGTCTGGGGGCATGCTCCCCCGGGAAGATTTTTTTTTATATTGAAGTTGAAAGCATCAACTATCTATCCACATCTCTCAACATCCAGATGAAACAGAACTGTAAACAGATTTTTTTTTCTTTATGGATATTTTACAAATTACTCCCCTTTCAAACTGTATTCTTGTTCTACTGTCATAATAATATATATTTCATAACTGTTTTTCATTTGTTTCTCTTATATTAATATCTGACATCACATACATCGTAGCATTAAAGTTCAAAGTTTATAATTAAAAAAATAAAAAAATATATTTTTTAAATGTTTATAAATAAAAAAAATGTCTTTATTGTGGGAGGGCAGGAATGTGAAACTGGAGGGCCTGGCCCTCCCACAGCACCGGGTCTTCCTCAATGGTAATCTTTAGATGGATTTAGGAACTTCCCCTCGATTCTATTGGCTCTAACTGTTAAAAAGTTGTGTCAATCACCAAAATCTACAATTGGGTTCCAGAGAAACGGCCCAAAATACACCCAAATGACCCCACAAGATTTTTTTTTTCTAAACCTCTCTAAAAAGGTAACATTTCACTTGTTTTGCATCAATCTTGATACAGGGTACTTATTATATGTTATAGTTTGGACTCCTAAAGCTTTTAGTCTACTATCCCATCATTCAAGGGTGGTTTTCTCTATAAGTAATGTGTTTATTTTGGACAGACACTATAATTTACATTTTCTTACTATGTTCATCTGAATTTTCTTTCAAATAAAAAACATCTATATTGATTCTGACTTTTCTACATCCAACTCACAGGTTTATCATTACTTTGAGAGAAAAGATTATTAATGTAACCCTTTTAGAAGATATGGTCATTTGTTCTGGGAATGTCCTTTTGGAGCCTGAGACCTGAACCACAGGTTGAAGGTGATTCAAAGGAAGCGTGCTCTAAACGGCGCAGGAGATTTTCAGTATAAAAGGTGTCGTTGAGCTCCAGACCTTTATTGTGAAAATCTCTCCTCCCTCAGGTGCACCTGCGCTCCCTCTCTCAGGACTCTGTTGCCATGGCAGCGTTACTGGGGCTCTCCAATAGGCTGGAGGCTGGGTGGGCGGAGCTACGGACGTCTTTCGACCAATCAATGTGTTTGCTGTCGTACGCCAAGAGTGCACTGCTGTGATAGATACACACACTCACACACACACACAGATCTGTATTTTAATAAAATGTGTTGATTCTCCGTCTGTTTGTTGTTGTTGTTCTTATTTCCTGTTCTGAGATGTTCCTGTCATTTATGCTGGGAGGCGTGTGGCGCAGTGGATAGTGCGTTGGGATCAGGGGGTCTCAGGTTCAAACCCCACTGCAGTCTGTGTGTGTGTGTGTGTGTGTGTGTGTGTGTGTGTGTGTGTGTGTGTGTGTGTGTGTGTGTGTGTGTGTGTGTGTGTGTGTGTGTGTGTGTGTGTGTGTGTGTGTGTGTGTGTGTGTGTGTGATACAAAAACTGCTGTAAAGTCTGTGTGTACATTGAATGGACACATTTCTATGTTCAACTATTTTGAATTATGTACAGTTTCTGCTTAAAGTTCTCATCTAGTAAACTATAGGTCTTTGTCAACCGACTACACTGAGTGTGAACTATGGACTGCTGTCCACTCAACTACCAAGTTTGAACTCAGGAGTCCAAACTCTAGCCCCCAGGACATGTGTCAGTCCTTGACGACATTGGTCTCACCTTTTTCCATTGACTTACATTGGAAAAGACACGTCTGTAAATCAGCGTATCATTTTGATAAAGATAAATCAATTTTACATTACGAACACTTGTATAGATAAAATAACTCAAAGTTGTATAATGCGCTAGAAGATGAATCCAGAGCTATTTTCCCCTCATGACTGAACCAAGACAGGAAGCGACAGGCAGATTGGAGGCGGGGCTAAAGCAAAATGCAAGTGCAAATGCTCTTTCCCGAGATGATATGGAAAAATGTTGTACTGGAGGGTCAGGCTTCATGCTCCACTGAGAAACTTTCATAGGACTGAACTGGGGGGGGGGCTTTGACACTGTCTCCAGTTCTCTTAATACATCCAGGCTCAGAGATTACACCTCATCACAACTGTACACCTTTTATCTTCAATGTCATATTAAAATGAATGTCATACACTACATTCATTGACTCTGTTCATTTAGTGACATGTCACATTTGAAATGTTTGTAAGACAAACATATTTGCATTTCCAGTTTATGTCAAAACATTAAGATCAACTGTCAGGTTGCAGAAACTCTGAAACTAGGACTGACCTGCAGTCTGTTCTCACTGCAGAGTGGATATGTTGTAAAAATGTACATTTGTGAAGCACCCTTTTTTCTAATATTGCTATAACTTGGGAAAAAAGTTGTATTTTGACGTTTTTATTGTTTTAGTTTTTTCCATTATAGTAACATTTGTTATGAAATTAATTGAACTTGCATTGAAATTCAGAATAAACACTTTTGGTTTGAGTTGTTCCTGCTCCTAGTTATGATTGTGCTGTTTCCATAGAGGTGCAGGACTGTATATTGAAGTGAAAAAAACACAATGGTCAAAATGTGACGTCTGAGACGGCTTTCTTTTTGTCTGTGAGATGTATTCAGGATCTGCACCTACTGTATACAGAGCTACCTAAGAATAATATAGCCGATACATTCATTCTTAACTTTAAGTTCAGACAAATCAACAAACGTTACAATGATACGTTACTAAAGAGGCCTGAAACATCCGATGTACAGGAAGTTAAATCTGTGATGGAGAGCATGTTATTCAAGTGTACCAGAGGGCAGTGAAATTGAACCAGAACAGAGTGTGTATTCCAGAATAGTTCCTCAGAGTAAAATGTTTGACCTTCCACCGTAGAACCTCTCTTTGTGATTTCACTGTGATCCCAGAACAGTTTACCTGGCATGCATACGTAGAGCACAGCTGAATAAGGCAAACTAATATTGTCACTTGACTTCTTCAGGACTGGTAGAACAGCTGACACCTTCAAATCTGTGAGGAGATTCCATCACAAGCATAGACTGTAATCTCAGCGACATCAACCTTAGGTAACCAGCCGTGATGAAGCTACATGTGGGGGCCTCGGTACCCCTCCTACTCCAACTGTAGCTGAGGGGGGGCTGGTGACGGCGCAGAGAGACGATCGGAGAAATGATTCACCTCAAGTGGTCAATAAAGAAATTGCATTTTTTGACACTTCTGCTTTGGCCCCATTTCTCAGGACCGGAAGTTGCAGTTTGATCAAAGAAGAAATCACTTTTTATGAAGCAAGACCTAAACATTGTATATGGAAGAGGACAAGGGCCGGATGACGGCAGTCTTGTGTCCAAGTTCAAAACATTTTTGACTTCTCAATTTAATCTCAGAATTCTGAGAAAAAAGACAGTAGGTTGTAACTTTTATCTCATAATTCTGACTTTTTTCTCATTTGGCCCTTATCGTCTTCCGTCATTTTATAACGATGACAAAAGGCTCCTCACCTACAAAGTGATGAATTTGAAGTGGTTTTCTGATGACTCTCAGCACTGACACTTTCTCCTCCGTCCACCAACACACCACTTGTGAACTATCGGATGATTGACAGATTAGATCAGAAGGGCGGGATTAGCAGGGGAGATTCACCCCCCCCCCAGATGACACTCACCTCCCTGCAGCCAGAACGGGAGCTGGATGAGATTTTTCTGTGTGCGTGTGGAAGCAGACTCCCCCCTTCACCTGATGTTTCAGCGCCTTCATCCACCTCCTCCTCCTCGAGCTCGTCCATCATAACCCATGTGGGCATGGCAGTGTCCCAATCCCCCTCTCCTCCAGCCAAAGTGGCCCTAGGGCTGCTTTCAAGCCCAGACCCGGGGCCCGCTCTTTGGAACCCCCCAGAGGTGGAGGAGGTAGATGCTGGGCAGTGGGAGCAGGACAGCATCCATAACAGCAGAGGGCCTACTTCATCTTAGTTAGGGATGAGTGAGGGCAAGGCATGAATATCAGACACACACACACACACACACAAGTTTTAATTATCTCTACCTACACTCATTTTTAACTTACAGAAGTGGTTTTCCAACAGCCATGTGACAGCCGTGGTGCGGTCAGGTACATTTCTCTGTATAAATGTTGTATAAATCAAATGAAGTGATTGCTGACATGACAGCAAATGATAAGACAACAGGGAAACATACTGCATACTGTTGTGATACTTGTAGTAGAGACACTGACACACTATGAAACACTATCCTGAACGTAATGCCAATGCAATACAGTCAGGACATAAAATATCATTATACTGCATTAACATCCCGGCTGTGTACCACTGATCTAATGCCCCCCCCGTCTGCAGCTCTTCTCTATGTCCGCAATATTTACATGCCATATTTCGTCGGAGGATCTTGCATTTCAAAAGCCTAAAACTCATTGGTTATGACTCAGATCAGGGCCGTATCCAGGATTTCCTAAATACCGAGGTCCAAACATGCTAGGGGGGTTCGGGGGATACCCCCCAAGATTTTTGGGATTTTCATGATCTAGTTAGGTGCTTTTTAAGTCCTGTGGGGGGTCACACATTGGATATTGATTTCAAACCATGTCAGTGGGCTGACAATGTCAGCATAAATTAGTTTTGAAAGTTTAATGCATAAGAATCAGCTGATTGTTACTATTAATTATCTGGAAATGCAGAAGAGCTAAAATGATCACACAACATTGTCAACATTCATTTTCCATGTCTCTCTCCTTTCCACAACCTGCAGCCTCTCTTCCATCTTCTTTAGTCTCTCTGTCTTCTTCCTGTTCCCTACTCTCTCTGTCCTTTGTTCAATCTCTCCCTCGTTGTTCACTTTTTGCTCCTCCTCACTTGTCGCTCCTGCCAGTGAATCAAAAGCCATTTAGTTCATTTCACTTGTTTGTTTGCATTATTTTTTTTAATTTAAATCTGTTTTGTTTGATTCTGAAAAGAGAACAAAGATGTAAGCAAATTGTGTTTTATACATATGTTATTATGACATCATAACTGCAATCGATGTATGTTGTTTTAAAAGTATGCCTATTGTAAATGAAGACTAAGTTATAGATGGATAGATAGAGAGAGAGAGAGAGAGAGAGAGAGAGAGAGAGAGAAAGAGAGAGAGGTATAGATAGATAGATGGATAGATGGATAGATGGGGTTATTAAGCCTACATTCTTTTGTGTGACTGTATCTGCAGTTCCTCCCTGATTTCCATCACTTTCTCTCTTTCTCTTTCTC